GAATCATGACAGGAATACAATTGAGGCATATTCTAGCCAATACCTGGCATAAGCTTTTAGGAAATGTTGATGTTGATGCCATGAAAGACAAAGAAGAAATGTCAGTCACTGGAGGAGAAGAAGGAGATGTAACACTAAATGCAATGTGGGACCCTGGATCTAATCCAGGACCTGCAAAAGGAAATGAACAAGAAAACAGAGCTTTCCACTCAGTCTGCCGTAAACTGTATTATATGTAACTTCTTTCTCCTCCACCCCTCCCCCTCCTCTTCCTCCTCCTCCTCTTCTTCCCCCTCCTCCTCCTCCATCCCCCCTCCTCCCCTGCCTCCTCCTCTTCCTCTTCCTCCTCCTCCTCCTCATCCTCCTCCTCTCCCTCCTCTTCCTGCTCTTGCTCCTCCTCCTCTTCCTCCTCCTCCTTCTTCCTCTCCTTGTTTCCTCCTCCTCTTCCTCCTCCTCTTCCTCTTCCTCCTCTTCCTCCTCACTTTTCTTGAAGTCCTCCTCCTCCTCCTCCTCCTCCTTCTTCTTCTTCTTCTTCTTCTTCTTCTTCTTCTTCTTCTTCTTCTTCTTCTTCTTCTGTTTTTGTCTTTTTGAGACAGGGAGAATCTCCTTGTAGCCCATAACTGGCCTGGAACACACTATGTAGACCCAGCTGGCCTGCCTCACGAGGGCTGGGATTAAAGACGTGCACTGCCGTGCCTGGTTCTCTTCTTATTCTTAACAACTGTGCTATGGTTGTATAAGATGTTAATATTTTAGAAAGCGGGGTGAAGGGTAGATGAGGAATAATATGGCTTGTTTTGAGACAGGCATCACTGTGTAGTCCAGGCTGGCTTCAAACTCATCATCTTCCTGCCTCAGCCTCCTGAGCACTGGGATTGCAGGTGTGTACTACTGCACTCACCTTTCTTGTGTTGCTTTTGTCACATTTTGCTAACTCTGAAATTGCTCCTAAATGATAAGCTAAGAAAGAAGAAAGATGCAGCATTTGGCAAATCTCTTGTGTTAGGTACTTTGTTTCAGTGAGAGAAAGCTGACTGAGGTAAGCGAGGAAAAGTGTACTTTGGCTTCTGGTCTTAGAGGCCTTAGTCCATAGTTGCTTGGTTCCATGTGGCAGCACGGTCTAGTACAGTGGGAACATGTGGTAGAGATGCTGCTCACATAATGGCATCCAGGAAGCAAAGAGAGAGGGAGAAAGGAGGGGTCAGAGTCCTAACATCCACTTCCAGTTCGAGTCTCCAATGCTCTGTCTTCCTCTGAGCAGGCCCTACCTCTTACAGATTCCACCATCTCCCAGTAGGAATATGAAGGGGCATCTGTCATCCCATTGATCACCAGGGTTGATTAGGCTGACCCAGCTAAGTGGGCCGATGTCTGCCTCCTCTCTCACTGCCCCACATGCCTCCCTTCTGAAGCTGTGGGCTCAGTTGAAAAGGATTACCTTTCCTCATAAAGGAGAACTGCTCTTCAGTCAAGGCAGCTAACTGAGTTCCCCTGCTAGAACCTCCAAACAAGCTCTCAAGGTCCACCATCTCCCAAGGGCACCACACGCTGATGATCAAACTTTGATACATGGAGTTTTGGAGCCATTTTGGATTCAAGCTACAGCATTCCTCATCTGTATGATAGGACGATCATCCCAACCTTCTTAAACAGTGTCACAAGGAGAAAACAGACTAGTGCAAAGAGCCCCATGAACGCATTCATCTGTAAAAAGTTATTCTTGCTGTTGGTAATAGCAACTCTACTGTCTGCTAAAACTTCAGAAGGGTTCCTGCCAAATCAAAAGCGTCTGGTTGCAAACCACTTCCAGCCACTCAGTATGCCCTCGTCCAGGGAAGTAATAATGCCGTCTTTGTGGCTAGATGACTGTTGTCAAGGAGATGGCTCCAGATAGCTCAAACAGCTGGGGGCAGTGATGCCACCTCCAGGCTTAGTAGAAAGAAAAACCACAGTGAGACAGACAGGGCAACAGCCTCTTTGTCCCTGACCATGAAACCACCACCACAAGGTGAAAAACAGCTTCCTATATGGTTTTTCCTTTGTGCAGTTGATTCTATTTTCAGTTTCAAGGTTTTAGCCTATAATCCATGAACATGGCCTCACTGAACAGGGCAAAGGATTAACCTTAGTGGGAACTTCCTAGAGGCTTATAGTTTGCAATCAGGTAATATACCATGTGAGCTTGACACTGCCCCCTACCCCTTATAATACATGAGAAAGCCAGGGTACAGCAAGGGGGAAGGAGTCTCAGGAAAGTTGGAGCCAAAATTCAGGTATCCAGACTTCTAGTCCTTCAGTCAGGCTGCTCAGGTAGCTTGAGGCAGTTGCTCGAGGAGTAGAGTGTGGTGAATATAACACTTACATACTGTGTCATACATATATACAGTGTACTGTGATTGCGTTCATGGCTCCCCCCACTCCTGATGGCCTTTTTCTTCTTCCCAACTAGCCTTTCTCCTACGTTTATGTCTGTTTTTCTCCCCTGAATCAAATTAAACTGAATTTAATTAGGGCTGCTCATAAGAGCACAGGTAGGAGGCTATTTATTGGAGCACGTGCAACTTATCAGTGGTTACACCACTGAAGAAAATAACACCTCTCCCTCCCTTGGCAATCATAGATGCCATGCCTGAATCAAATTCTAAGATGGAGACAGAAACAAACACACAGGGAAAACAGCCTGTTTGAAACATGTAGCACATTGGAGTTCTGGGGGACTGGAGCTCACAGCTCTAGTTCTTTCATGTTTGCAAACAGAGGGACAGGGAATGAGAATGAACATGAACATGGGAACTTATGGAATTTCTGCTGACAGTACCTAAAGACATCTCAGGTCTCCTCACAGAAACCCAGCGGGGTAGGTACTAGCCCATCCTCCAGATTGAACATTGAGCAAACCCTTCATTTGTTTAATAAGTATTTGAAAACATCTGCTAGGCGGCAGGCACAGTGCTATGGATAAGGACAGAGCAGTGAACAGTTCAGACCACAGTCCCTATGAAACTTCCCTTTGAGTGAAGGAGGAAAACACTAAAGAATCACAGAACTATATGGTCGCAAGCTGTAGTGAGTGCTACAAAGGTAAAATATAGGTTGCTGAGAAAGGATATTTAGATTAGAACATTCTGGATGGTCTCTTTTGGAAAGTAATTGATCAACTGCTTAGTTGAAGATTGAGGAAACTGAGGGTAAGAGATCTCTTCACAGTCACCATCTACCCAGTCATATTTATTTTTCTTTCCTCTTTTGGAGTTGCTAGGGATGGAACCCATACCTAGCCTGAGCATGCTAGGTATGCATTCCACAGATGCACATCTGAGGCGCTCTAGTTCAGCTCATTCACAGCCCTCCACTTTTTCTAGGACTTTCTCAACGCTGAGATGGAGAAGGACATTTCCTTTCTCTGCCTTAGCTTTGCCTAAATTATCTAGGTGTTTGGTAATAGCTTTGTACTTTAGGTAAGACAACTCAGGGTAGGCCACTGGTCCTCAAAAGGTCAGTTAAACAGACAAGTAATAGTGAAAAGCAGGAAAAGGAGATTGATTCAGTGTGGCCCCATTGGGAAGAGGAACAAGTAAAGAGGTCCAGTGAACCCCCTCAGTCCAGCTTTCCACATCTGATATGAGGTTTAGGTTTAAATAGAGGTCCTAATTAAGCATGATGAAGCAGTCTCAGGAAAGGTGTGGTCCTCTGTTGCAAGGTGGTATGACACGTTATCAGACTCTGTGAATCTCTCCCAGGGAGACAAGTTCCTCCTCTGGCTGACACCAGGCTTCAACCTTTTCTTTCTACCAGCAAGAGATTCCGGGTGAAATTTCAATTTCTTGGTTTTTTTCTTCCTTCTTTCTCTTCTGTCTTCCTCCACCTCCCCCACCCTACCTCTAGCAGAGCAAATGCACCTATATTAAGGAAAAGTGTGAAAGAACTCCAACCTGAATCCAGTTTCTTGGCTATCATTATTTTAATAGTGTGATAGCCAAAACATATTTGGGGGGTGGGGGTGGGCACACAAGAGTCTCAGAAATCGTCACTCCTTCCAAGAAGGTGGTTACCAGACTGGAGAGCTGGCTCAGCAGTTAGGAGCACTGGCTGTTCTTGCAGAAGACCCAGGTTGGAATCCCAGTGCCCACATGGAGGCTAACAGCCCTCTGTAACTCCAGTTCCAGGAGATCAGATGCCCTCTGCTGTCCTCTGCAGACATTATGCAACATGGGTGAACTTACTCACATTCAAGCATAACACTTAGGCACATAAAATAAAAATAATAAATAAATAAATAAATAAGAAAAATGTGGTTACAAACATGTTTAGAGAGAGCCCAGATCTCGATGGCAGGTGCTATGGGATCTGTTCCAGTGCAGAGTAAACTTCTGTATTACTTTGGGAAAATCATTTCTGCTCTCTGGGACTCAGTTTCGTGATGGAAGGTGTTAGCAGTCAATCAATTTACTGACTGAAGGTGTAGGAATCACGAAGTGAGAGCTGAGAGGTACTATGGCTGACCATTTGACTCATGGGGATGAGCTCCTTTCAACTAAGTGTGTAAATTACAGTTTGCATTAGGATTCCAAAGGTAGCGTTTTTCTAAATTGGGGCAGAACCCAATGATCTGAGTTTGAAATAAAGGCAGACGCCTTTTGGGTACAAGGACCCAAAGCATGTGTGTGTGTTGGGGGGTGGTGGTTCATGATTCTGGAAAAGAAACATCGAATTAAGAACTCCGAACTGTCTCATCTCCCGCTTAAATTAGCTGATCAGGGCCCGCGTTCACCCTCAACAAAGATGGCGCCTGTCCTGGCTTCAGCCTGAGTGCCTTCACACAAAAAAATGGAGGCCAACTTCGCTTTCCGTAGTTTTGCAGGTCCTAGCTCCAGGGCTCTGCCCTTAGTTAAGATGGCGCTCGATCACGCTTCCCTGCCAGGTTTCTGGCCTCAGCAGGGAGGCTTCACTGCGCGTTTCTGGGTGACCCCGCCTTGTTTCCGTAGGAAGAAGAGCCGGGAAAGATGGCGGCAGCTGCGGTTTGAATTCAAGTGGCGCCGCTTGACTCAGAACCAGAGCTGGGTTGGAGGGGGCGGGGACCTGGGGAGCTGGGCGCGTCACGACAGCCAGGGGAACTGGTGGCGTCGCCAGCCACCGACACCGGTGCCACCGTCACTTCTGTGTTCACGGTGGACTCGGGGATGGAAGAGAACGTCACCCTGCCCGGGACCCTCAGCGGCTGCAGGTGCGGCGCGCGAGTCGCGGCCGGGCGGTAGCTGGGCTGGGATTTCTCCGGAGAGGCCTTCGAGTTTGCCCTGCAGGATGTTGGCCAGGGCCTGTGTGTGGGGTCGGTGTCTTTGGGGATGGTACTTTTGGGGGGTCCATCTGCTGCTACTGAGCGTGGGGGGACCTGGGGGGGTGGTTTCCAACCTGCACCACGTTGGACTCTGGTATTCTGGAACATAGGGTTGAGAAGGTTAGCAAGAGGCTTTCTGAAAGAGTGGGATGAGGGGAGACTGGGGATCCATTAGTGGCGACTGGTTGGGGACAGGGACCTTAGGGCACTTGCGATTCATTCTAGTTTAGGAGTTTGCATTCACAGTGGGGAAAGTAGCCGGTATTTTAGTCTTTCTTTATGGGGTCACACAGTGGTCGCCCGGTCAGAGGCAACAGAGTACTGGACTGAATCTTGGCTAGAGGTGGACAGAACTCCGTTTAAGCCAGGCTTCCAAATTGAGTAGATGGGTGACCTAGTAGTGTAGTGCCTGAGACCTCCCCAGAGTTGAAAAGAATGTTACCGTTATACTATTACTATTACTACTAGCACTGTAACTCTTACTACAATGCTTGGGACTAGAAATGTACATTAGTTTAGCCATTTGGAAGGGGTAGTTGGCGTAAGAACTAAAAAAGCCCGGTGTCTAACGCAATAGAAGTGCAAATCCTCTCCCTTACCCTCCCTTACCTTTTCGGGATGGGTGCTGCACACTTTCCTGGTAACTAATCTCTTAACCTGATCTAGACCCTTCCAGGCCCCTTGCCACCTTCAGGATGAGGTTCTGAATACGGCTTCCAAGGACCTTCATGTTCTGGTCATCTGCCGCTGTAGCCTGCCCTCTCTCTAGTTTCCCAACCCTGTCTCTTCCTCGAGCCCTTTGCCCTGTGCCTGGTTGCGGAGTTCTGCGTCAGGAATGATCTTGCTGTGTTGTTCCTTGCTGCCTGGCCCGTGCACGTGCTGTTCTTGCTGCCTCAGTTGCCCTTCCTACCCCCCTTTTGCTTTATTAATACCTGTTATTTTTTTCAGGTCTCAGTTTAGGGGTCACTGCTAAGAAACCATCGCTGACATTCTGCATTCTTCTCTCCTGGGCCCGCTGCAGTGTTAAAACAGTTCTCACCTGTCACTGACCTTGTCCTAACTCTGTTGACAGTGACTAGTGACTAGCACGGTCCAAAAAATAATAATACAACCTGTGATACATACATATATATATATGTATATAATTTTTGGTAGCCACAAAATAGTAAAAAGTAAAAAAGAAATAAGTGAAAAAGTGAAGATTTTTCTTCCTTTTCTTGATGCTGGGATTGAGTTCAGGACCTTATGCGTGCTCAGCAAGTACTCTACCACAGAGCTGCAGCAGGTGAATGAACGGTGTATTCTTTTTGTTTATTTATTTTATGTGAATGAATGTATTGCCTGAATTGTAAGTGCAGTGCCCTCGGAGGTCAGAAGAGGGGATCCCCTGGGTGGTTGTTAGCTGCCATGTGGGTGCTGGGAACTGAACCCATATCCTCTTCAAGAGCAGCTAGTGCTCTTAACAGCTGAGCCATCTGGAGAGATGCCCCAAATAATGTGTTTTTATTTAGCTTAATATTTCCATATATTATTCCAACATAATCTACAGGAAAAATAGTTGACAAGATATTGTACATTCTTCTTTAATCTTAATGTTTGACATCTGGTATGAGATTTTTATACTTAGAACACTTCTCAGTTTGGACAAACCCCATTTGTGCTTCATGGATTTGTGTGGCTGGTGGCTTATGAATTAGATAGTACAGAGCTGGGGACCCATTTTAGAGCAGGGACTGGCTTTTGGTTCCTAGCCTGTTGTCTTGTGTACAATGGGAGCTGAGTGACTGAGCATGCAATGATCCTTTGAGGGGCTGCTGTTGTCTTCCTGTTACAGGTGAGACCACCGAGGCTCAGAGAGCTGAAATAAATGGTCTGGGTTCCCACAAAAAGTACATAAGTCAGGACTTAAATCCTGTCTTGTCTTCTGACTAGTCTGAACCAATCAGCCTGAGAGTGTTTAGGAGGCTCTTGTAGAGCACTTTAAGAGTGGCAGAAACATCCTGGGAGGGACAAGTTCTCTACTAGGAGACCACAACGGAAGAGAGTAATCCCTATGATAAATCCCACCTTTTTATTTTAATATGCTGCTTTCTGAGCACCCCTCTCTTGGTGATTTCCAAACTCAGTGTTTATAGATGAAACTGGAGCCCAGTTTGTCCTTGGACTTCTGTTGCGTTACCTTAGGGTGCATTATTTCCCCTGAACCTTATTCCTGTGAGTACCAAATAGCTTTAGCCCTGTATATTTTAGTTCTTGGGACCTTGCCCCCCTAAGACCTTTATGTGTAGAAAGACTTGGCAGTTGAGATGGCAGTCTAAATCCTGGCTCAGCCACTTACTAGGTGTACTGTTTTGAGAAGTCAGCCCTCCAAGCCTCAGTTTCTCTTTGGTGTTTTATTGATGGCTATGTGGATGAGGTGAGAATGTACATAGTAAGTACTTGGCACCTACTGGGGCAGAGTGTGAACGCAACTGTTTTTTCATACTGATGCCACAGCGCGCTGTTGGCTGGACAGGATCCTTAGTACTGCAGCCTTCAGCTCATCGCTTTGCATGCCAAGAGTCTGCCTGTGCCCAGCTGTGAGTGTCCTGTGGCCCAAACCCAGGCTTATTCAATCACGGCTGGCTCCAGTTCAGGGCCACTGAGTGCTTGCTGCCGGGTTGGGAGCAGACTGGAAGGAAATGTTTTGCCATAAGCACAAGTTTATGTTTGTACCTCATGGATGCCAGGAGAAGCAGTTAGAAATCAGATAAAGGTATCCCTGGGCTACAAGACTTGAGGACAGCAGTGGTTCATTCCTCACTGAGCCTTACAGCATGTAGAGGCTCTGCCCATGTTTGTTGAAAGAACCAATTTTGTTCAGTCTGTTTATGGAAAGATGTGGTAAAGTTCCCATATTCACTGCTGAAGTGCTGCTGTGTGATCAGTGTGCACACTGACTGTCCATTGCTACACTCTTTGGAGAACACAGTTTGGAATTAATGTTTAAAAATTCCCCCTGCCCCCCTTTTTAAACCGGTATATCAAGATACAATTTAGGGGCTAATGATATGGTTCAGTTGGTAAAGTGCTTATCTTGCAAGCATGAGGACCCTAGTTTGATCCCCAGAACGCACATTCAAAGTGCTGGGCATGGTAGTGCATGCTTGTAGTCATGGTGCTGGGGAGGCTGAGATAGACGGATGCCTGGGTCTTCCTGGTAGCCAGCTTAGCCTAATTGGTGAGTCCCAGTAAGAGACCGCCTCAAAAACCAAAGCAAAAAGTGAACAACAGCAGCTGCAACAGAAAACCAAGGCAAACGGTTCTGGGGGGGTGACACCTGAGGTCGACTTCTGGCCTCCAGATATATCTGCATGTGCGTGTGCACACACACACACACACACACACACACACACACAGAGTGCGCCCCACATGAACAGGCATACACGTTTGTAATTTGCATGCCGTATAGCTTATCTATTTAAACTATTGACTGTAAATAAACTATGGAGTTGTGCAACCATCACGTCACCATAGCCCAGTTTTAGAACATTTTCATTATTCCGAAAGAAGCCCTGTGCCTATTAGCAATCCTTCCTGCGTCTTCCTCTGGCCCTGCTGTCTCTATCTCAGGCCCCCATACCCACAGTTTATTTTTTCCTCCATAGAGCTGTGTGTTCATATAAAACTTCCATTATGCATTCTTTAGTGAGGTTCACCCATGCTGTAGTGTGTATCACTGCATTTCTTTCTGTGGCAGATAATATTCCATTGTTCCCATGTACCACATTTCTTCATTCATGTCAGTGGACGTTTGGGGTGGTTTCTGTTTTTTGTCATTATGAGTGACAGAAATAACAACGGTTATTTGTGTCTGAGTTTTTGTGTGGACGTGTGAATTTTCGGCTGTCTTGGATTCCACCCAGGAGGGGAACTGCGGGATGCAAACTCTGCACTTAGTCTTTTGAGGACTGCCAAGCTCTGTTCTGAAGCAGCGGCACCATTTGTCACTCTCACCAACAGCGTTTGAAGGTTCTAGTCTTCTGCACATGTTCCCCAGCACTTGTCGTTGTCTAGTTTTTTTTTGACATGGTATGCCATTGTGGAATTGATTTACACTTCTGTGGTGACATGATATTAAATGTCTTTTTCATGTGCTTATTAGCCATTTGTTTTTTTTTTTTTTTTTTTGGTGGAATGTGTAGAATCTTTGCTTAGTTTGAAAATAAATGTATTTCGACTGATTTGTTTCACTTCTTGGTATCTACTCAAGAGGTATCCTTGTACATAATGGGACCTGTGTGATGCTATGCAGCCAACATGAAAAGCTCATAGGAAAACTTGGAAACAAGTTGAATTTCTGTCAGTAGGGGATTGGGTAAATACACATGCTTTCAAAGTGTCTTTTAGACTGCAACCCCTTGCTAGCTCATGAAACTCAACTTAGTAAGCTACAACCAGACTTTTAAAAAGTAGAAGGTAACAGACAAGGTTTCAGGAATTAAGGAATTCTTTTATGGGTTATGGTCAGTAAAGTCTCCTGTTGCAGGGTGCTTCCTGGGTGTTGCTAGCTGGAAGCAGACTCAAGTGTACGTCACTAGAACACCTTGAGGGTTAGTCTTTAGTTAGAGGAAAGTGTTCAGCATGACAGGCACAGTTTTCTTGGTTTTATTTTATTTTATTTGTGTGTGTGTGTGTGTGTGTGTGTGTGTGTGTAGAATGGGAGCTGCCCGACACGGGTGCTGGGACTCAAACTCAGGTCTTCTGGAAGAGCAGTAGGTACTCTTAAACACAGCCATTTCTCCGGCCCCTCCCCTGCACTTCAAATGGGATGGTAACTACCCATATCAAAGGGTTCCTAAAAGGGAGGTCATGTGTGTACAGCATCCAAATTAACTACTGGCACATGCGGTCATGAATAAATGTTAGCTCTTTTCTAAGCTCAGATCTCCTAAATAAGACCTAAGCAGTCAGTGACAAGCAAGCAGTCAGTATTGCCCAGAACCTCCTAATCTAACACTTTAGCCTGACCATACCTGTTCATGCTGTCCATCCATCTCCTGTGATCCATAAAAAGTGAAAACTGAGCCAGGCACACACTTTTAATCCCAGCACTTGGGAGAAAGAGACAGGCAGATCTCTGTGAGACTGAGGCCAGCCTGGTCTCCATAGTGAATTCCAGACCAGCTGGGGCTACACTGTTCTGCATCTGACTGTTATGAGGGTGCAAAGATGAGTTAGCCAGTGGTTTCTGTGATCAAGGAGTTTACAAGAGAAAATTCAGTAGAGAAATACCTTCTGTTTGGCAAATGTTAGGAGAGACTGGAACCTTTGATTAGAATTTTGATTTTCACTTAAAAATCAGAGTAGCTTTATTTTATTTCGCACAGTTTGCTTGGTTTTATTTTATTTTATTTGTGTGTGTATGTATGAGAATGTGCCTATGAACAGGAACATGCATGTTCCTCTCTCTCCGCCTTATTTTTTGAGGCAGAGTCTCAACCTGCAGCTCGCCTGTTTTCGCTTGACTGACCAATCAGAAAAGCCCCCAGAATCTGCTGATGAATACCCCACCCCCAGCCTGCATTTGTCTTATTTTAAGCGAGAGAATAAAATGATGTTTGTATGTATGTAAATGCCTAGGCAAAAGTGTGAATGCTGCCTTATTTCTGACATCAGTGGTTACCTCTTAGGGAGGGACTGGATTGGGAATCTTTAGGGAAGGGAGAGCTTTAGGTGTACCTGTAATTTTTATCTTTGTGTATTTCTTCTCTAAAATGAGTGGAATAGAATGAAAAAGAAGTTGTTCAGAGACAAACAAAAGTACACTCATTGATGTGACCGTTTTCTTAGTGTGACGTCCATTTTCAGCCCTGGCTCTGGTGACCCTGCCAGCCCTCTTTGGGTCTTCTAGTGGAAAAGGACAGTTGTTGCGGGCAGGTAGAAGCACAGAAAGTGATGTCTCCTCCAGGGTGGCAATAAAACAAGTCAGAAGGTTGGGGTAGAGAAGCGCCCATTCCCCTGGGCCCAGAGCCTATCTCTCCCAGCACATGGTGGGTGCTTGGGATGGTGCATTTTAAGAATGCCCATCCATCCATTTGGCTAAGAGCGATGGCCATGTGCTATGTGAAGCCCTGGAAGCCCCTTGCTTGGAGTCATTCAGCCCTCTCCATCTCCACCCTCGTCCCTGCCTGGCCTTAGTGAGAGGGGGGATTGAAAAAAGGTTAATGGGTTTTCTACTTTTACTTTTGGGAACTGCTTTTCATTAGAGAAGGAAGGAAGGAAAGAGAAAGAAAGGGAAAAGAAAATTGAAGGCACTGTTTAAAAAATTAGCACCCATATAGAAAGTGGTGCTTGAATTTGATTTTAATAAAAAAATTATTTTTATTTTATGTGTATGAGTGTATTGCCTGCATGTACTTAAGTGTTGTGTAATGTCCACAGAGGTCAGAAGAGGGCATCAAATCCCCTGGAACTGGAGTTATGGATGGTTGTTAACCACCATGTGGGTGCTGGGATTCGAACCTGGGTCTTCTGCAAGAGTAGCCAGTGCTCTTCACCTCTGAGCCATCTCTTCAGCCCCTGATTTTAACTAAAGAAATTCAGTTTAGAGAATGGACTTTGTTCTTTTAGTAATGCTTATTGGGAGAAGTTGAAAATGATAGAAAATTAAGATGGAGGAAAATGTCGCATTCTTTTACACGTGGTATTTTTGGTATTCATAGCTCACCAAGTTTCTAAAAAAGATTTGGAGTGATTTTATGTGTATTTTCTCATGATTGGGGATGTTCTACTTAGGTTTTTTTCAGTTATCTTTAGAGCAGACCTCTTTTGAGTAATCATTTTCTTGATGTTGGCTTTTTGTGATATTTTTAGTTTTTGCTTGTTCCTGATCTTGAAGGTCTGTTCCAGTTTGAAAGTTTGTTGATCAGGGGTTGTCTGAGCATCAGAATGCATATTTCGAGGCAGGAGGAACGGGTTGCTTTGGAGCAGGGCAGAGCTTCCGTTTGATCTTAGTATGCAGGTTGGGACAGGGAGGCATTCCAGGAGTTTAGATGGAAAAGACTTGGATTCTGGACTTGATTCTCTACCTCACTGCCGTGTGACTGTGGTTGGGACACTGAAACTGCCCATGCATCAGCCTTTGACAAATGCACGTACCCTCAGGCCACTGGAGGCTGTGAAAGAGTGTAAATATTTTATAAACTGTAAAGCACTGTGGGCCACAGGGTGACAGAGCTACTCTGCTCTCATTTGCGGAGCACCCATATATGCCAGGCACCTTGCTGGGCACCGTGTGCCTTGTTTATTTGCTAGTTGCTCTGTGACATGGAGGAACTACTGTGAATAGACTCTGCTGTTCTGTTGTGACCGAAGGACATGAGACTTGGAGAAGCGCATGCAGAACGTAGCACATAATGTGCTGATTTCTAGAAGTTTAACTTTGTTGATGGTGATAAAACAACAGATTCTGTTTGGATTTTACAGGTGTCTCTGTATAGTATGTACAGAAACCCAAGTGTTTTGTGCCTGGCACAGCACTTTTATACTTGCATATACTTTTACATATGAACAAATCGGTGACTGACCCCAGTGAACTGACACTAAAGCTAGAGCTCAGCTCCGGCCTGAAAAAAGCCTAAATTCTTTTTTTCTTTTTTTGGACAGGGTCTTATTGTGTAGCCTCGGCTGGCCTGGAATTCACTGTGTAGGCCAGGCTGGCCTGGAACTCAAGGAGATTCACCTGCCTTTGCCTCCCAGTGCTGGGACTAAAGGTGTATACCACCATGCCCTGCTCAAAGGCTGAATTCTTTTCTTTTCTGTTTTTTTGTTTTTAAAGATTTATTTTTAATTGTGTGTATATGTGTATATGTGTGTGTCTGTGTATGTGCTTGTGAATGCAGGTGTCCATGGAGGCCAGACGTGTCAGATCCCCCTGGAGCTGAAGTAACAGGTGGTTGTGAGCCACTGGATGCGTTTCCCAGCCACTGGGAAACAAACTCCGGTCCTCTGTAAGAACAGTATGTGCTCTTAACCACTGAGCCATCTTTCCAACCCTAAAACCTGAATTCTTAAGCTTGGTCCTTCCTGCTTCCCAGGTAGCTTGGCCAGGTGTCCACAGCCTGATGACTGTCACATGCAGTCCAGGTGGTCATAACGGTGTCTCTGCTGTTCAGGTGCCAGCTCATCTCTCATCTACTGTGTTCTCTCCTAGTGGCCTTCTCCCTGTTCAGCCAGGTGACCTGGATGGTATCAGTGCTGCTGGCTCGGGAAATGGAGGTAAGTACCCAAGCCAGCCTTTCTCTTAAGAGAAGGGAAGTAGGTCCAGACCGTGAGCATCTGAGGCTTGCACTTGGGCATTCACCCTCTCTGGCCCAGAGCCTGCCTGGCTTGGCACATGGTGGGGACACATGTGTGTGCTGATTTTCCCTCCACTGTCTTTCATAAACATGAACCACAGGAATCCATGTCCTCTGGCTTGAGTTTCACTTTCTGCTACAAGCAGTGTCCACTGAACTGAGCAGCAATGTGGCAGCTGGACATTGAATTAGTGACCAGCCCTGGAACTGGGCTTCTGTTGGTTTCCACTGCCGAGTGCCTGAGGCCCCGGGGAGCAGTGTCTGGATTTGAGTGTGCCGTGGTCTGCTTGGCAGGCTGCTGGCTGAGGCCGAGCTGCTCTTTCAGGCCTCCTGCTCATGAAGTAGCCGCATATACCTCAGGAGCCATTGCTGAGGACATTTGCGGCGCATTGTATTTAAGCTGGACTGTGTGGAGCCTGCAGTCTGTGTCTTGCATTCTTCATAATTTTCATTTCTGAAAGAAACCTATCCTGTCCTGTGTGGGTAGTTCTAATAATTTGCCTTGTTGAAATATCTTCAAGATATTTTGACTTGTGTTTTTTCCTCTCCTCTGAAGTGATGAGATGTGTGCAAAAAGAAGCTTTTGAAGTATACAGGATGAGAATCACAAAGTTTATTTCTGGGGAATTCTGTACCTTATAGGCCACCCTCAGATTTTCCTTTGGGACCTGTTAACTTTTACTTGAAACAGAAAATCTGGTAAGCCTGGTTTCTGTTCTTACTGGAGTGGAGAGCTGTGAGGCAGACCCCGGAGTTCAGCCCACGGTGCACCTGTGTTTCATGCCAGACTCTAGGCTGAGCTTTGGGATTCACCTTGGAACACCGTGACAGCCAAGCTGAGAACAGATAGACAGAAGTTATTCTGATAAATCATGTGACCAGGGTTAGGAGTGAAGCATAAGGCATTGTGAGGGGGTGCAAATGAGAGGGAGTCAGGTCAGAGCTTCCCAAGGAACTGATCATTGGAGCAGAGACTTGGAGTAAGACTGAGGTAGGGAAGGAGGGGGACAAGCATCCCTGACACAGGTGTCAGAGCAGCAATCGAGGACAGGAAAACACTGTTCCCCAGCCAGGCGCACAGAGCTCCGCACAGCCTGCCTCTGCCCATGCCTGCCCCTTACTGTGCCTGGGCTCTGCTGTTCTCTGCCTGCTGCATTGAGAGCTCAGCTCAAAGCTCACCACCTTCTTTGGCTCTTCCTGGGCTCCTTAGCCACACTTTCCCTCTGAACATAAGCATTTCATTCCATTTCTTCCTGTTGATGTCTTTTAAAGTATCTGGAATTAAACTGGTTCTCACCCACTTATACTCATCCTGGCCTAACTGTGAGGACTTTGGTCTGGATCAGCCCATCTTCTCTCAGCTGCTCTCCTTGTTTCTGTGTGGAGCCTTTTACAGTCTGTCTGTTCTCTGCAAGGCAGCCAGAGGGAGCCTGTGGAAGCCTGAATGTGCTCTTGCTGAGTCCTCCAGCCGCACCTCAGACCCACTGGGCATGCTCCTACCTCAAGTCCCTGCACTGGCTGCTGCTCAAGCCTAAACGCGGCCTTTTCAGTGAGCTCTTCCTTAATCATTGCACTTAAAGCCACAACCCCCACCTTGCTTCTGGCATTTTCCACTTTATTTTTCTGTATGGTAACTCACCTGTTAGCATTGTATGATGGCCTGATTGTCTGCTTCCTCTGGAATCTCGGCTCATTTGTTTCTTAGAGTAGACAGATCCAGAAAGCCCTGGCAGGAAGCAGCCTCTCAGTACAGTGTATCGTTCAGTCACTTAGCACACACTTACTAGTACCCACAGAGCACCAGACTCTCTGCTCAGTGTCAGGACAGTTTGTTTACCTCCACTTTGCCCACTTGTCTGGGAAGCTCAGGTGCAGAATTGCTGTCCCCTTCACCATTGTTTCCCCAGCACACAGGCTGATGCTTGGTGCAGAGCAGGTGTGGTAAATGTTTGATGAATTAGGGAAGCTCTGGAGGGATGGGGACTGGCAGACTTTGTGCTTGCTCCACAGCACGGTTGGAGCTTCCCGTCTGCCTGCTTTTGGAAGTCAACTGTTTTGAAACATACAAAGCCTCTGCATGCCGAGTTGTTTATGAGGCTGTTTTCGTGTGGCAGCAGAGGAGTTGAGAAGCTGTGACAGATTTTGGGCTTTGTGTATGGCCTGTAAAGCCTGAAATGTGATTGGTATTTTAAGAAAGTTTGCCAACTGCTGTCATGTCAGTCAGACTTGGTCCTCACTGACATGTGAGGAGGAGGAGGAGGTCTGTGTCAGGACAGTCCGCTTGGCCACATGCCCTGTGTATTTTCTAGGTTTGTTCCTTTGATACACTTTATTTGGTTATGTTGGGGACAATTTGGATAAATTTTCAATATTGGTGAGTCAGTGATTGAGAACATTCCCTGCATGCAAATCAGTAAATCCCAACAGGCAGGAAGTGCCAGCAGGGTGTACTGTGGATGCTGTTCTGGCTTGCTTTTCTCTGGGCTCTGTCCATAGTAGGAATATTGGGCAGCCTGCATGCCATTACCCTTCTTTGTATCTGTTCTGCTTTTTTCTAGTGCTCCCATGTGTGTCCGAAGAAAAGGTTTCTCCCACCAGAGCCCGGAACATGAAGGACTTTGAAAATGTAAGTGGACATAACAAATTATTGTCCCTAACAAATCATGTCTACTGTCACCGTGCAGCCAGGCCCAGGAGACAGCTGTTTTCTTGAGAACTGTCTAAGCCAAGTAATGCCAGAAATAGGGGAGAGGTGGGGACAGGCAGAGTGCCACATGGCAGGGGCCTTCATGGCATAGGGCCTTGTCCACGAGGCTGTTTCATGTACACACAACCAGCCTTTTACACAGAGGCCTCTGATAGATTTTGACAAGTAACTGGTTTGTTTCTGGTGTCCTGAAGATGAGGGCTTTGCCTTATTGCACAGTGAAGGGGAGCTGACAATAACAAAGGTGCATTGTTTATAGATCCTGGGTAATCCTTGCTACAACTCATGCAGTGTTTTATCCTGGTCCCACTTTATAGATAAGGAGCTGTTAGAGTAGGAGAGACTCATTTATAGTCATATAATAAGTACATAAGAAGCAGAGCTAGGATTCAAATTCACTTTAAAAAAAAATCAGTGTTTTTTTAAAACTCATTTTTATTTTTCATTTTTTATTGTTTGAACTGTGCTATGTGTATATTTTATGGGGTGTTGTGTGTGTATGTGGTGTATGCATGTATGTGCAAGTGTGTATCTGTGTGTATCTTTGTGAAGGTCAGAGGAGTGTGTCGAGTATCTTCCTCTGTCACTCTCCATCTCATTCCCCTGGGACTGGGTCTCACTGAACCAGATCCTTGTGTTTCCAGCTAGGCTGACTGACCAGCAAGATCTCGGCATCTTCCTGTCTCTGCCCCTCAGTGCTCTGTGGCTGCACCCAGCTTTTTTTATGTGGATGCTGGGGGATTTGAACTTGGGGCCTCTCATGAAGGCATAGCAGGTGCTCTAACCCACTGAACCATCTCCCCAGCCCCTGAATTCAGGTTTTTAGCTTTTCCAGAGTCATTATTGTTTCTGCTGCTCTCTCTGCCCCTCTACTTGTGTCTTATAGACTCTGTGGCTGGCGAAAGGAATGCAAGTAGCCTGTACCCACTACTTGTTGGACTGGTCTGAGGATGGATTACTTGGTGATAGATTCGGCCTTGATGCTTAATGTCTTCCAGCATTGTGTCTTTCATTTGTTAGTGGGTGGGAGTTCGTTGTCAAGTAACAGGAAAATAAGGTGATTTTCCCAATTCCAGTTCTCTTTAACAAGTTGCCTGCTCAATGCTCTCATTTATCATGGGAAGAATTAGGCCTTCTTCATCTGTAGCCAAATAGAATCCATACCTTGCACGACACGGGCGATATATTTCAGAGAGAAGACGGAGGGCACAGGAGAAGGACGCTCCACAATTACGTTTCTCTCTTCCCAGTTGTCTTTACAGAACAGAGCGGTGCTGTCTCTGGATTTAATTTAGAATACTCATTACTGCTAATAGTTCTCTGCAAACCACCAGTGACCAACTGAAGAAATGACTTGTCAGATCTCTAATGGAAACAAGTAATTTTTGAGCTTTGAATTGTTATAGTTTTAGCTGTACAATGTGATGTATGCTGTGGGGTCTGGGGCCTGAACCGAATGAGATTTGATTATTCCACATTGTGTATAATTAAAATATGCTCTACTGTTAAATGGTTATTTCTGTTTTATCTTAAGAGTAATAATAGCTACTGTTTACTGAGCTCTTGCTCTGAGCTGGTCACTTTAAGTATGAAGTTCTTTATAGACATTTTAATGCTAAAGCAGCTTTGCAAGATCAAGAGTTGTTATTTATTTTTGAAGAGCACAGCTTTAAATTTTATTTCTAGATGGGGAAATTTAGCAGCATTGTAGAATTTTGGTTTTACACCTGCCTTTGAACTGGAAGGAATCCTGAACCCAGCTCTCTTTGTTATATATAGTGGTGCTGAGGTTTGGGGATGTGATGTGCAAAGGCTTCTCAGAGGACTATTCCTAGGGCCACAGCTTTTCCAGACAGACTTGACTGTTGATCCACTTTTGCTGGTGATTTTGGGCCAGTCACTTAACCTCTCTGTATTTTCCTCCCCTGTAAAATGGGCCATTAGGACAAATATGAAGGCACGTGCATAGCACCAGGTACAAGCTGTGTGTGCCCTCCTCCTGTGGTGGTATGACCAGTTCTCTCTGCTTTGTCATGTGATTGGAGTGTCTCTTGTTCAGACTGCTCTTGATGGCCTAAATCTCATTTTTCTTGAAGGTGAGGGAGAGCCTTCTATGCCAATATGTTTTAGGATTTATGTTTTTTCTTTATGACTGTGGTCCTTTGGCTGCGGTTAGGGTTTTATGGCATTAATATTTTTTACTGTAGCATTTTGGAGAGCGAATTCTGCAGCTGAAATTGAAATGACCACACTGTTGTCAAAGTCTCCCTTTCAGGTCTTTAGAAGTCGCTGAAATTTTTCATTTGGCCTGAGCTTCGTTTTGTGGCCCAGGCCATCCATCTCTGCGGTGGTTGTCTGAGCTTTCTGGGAGATGCTTTTAGGAAATGCACTTGGCATGTAAGGCTGGGTTTAGGTGCATGTTAAAGGGCCAGAATACTTTGGATTTAAAGGGGAAAACTCCTGATTCCCTTGTTCTAATCTTGGGTGACCACTGTCTGAGCATCAGCAGTTGCATTTAGCAAAGGTTTAGTAAGACAGAGGCCCCTTTGTGGTTTTGCTCAGTTGTCTGCTCAGTAAACATTTTTTGTTGCTGTTCTTTTGAGACAGGGTCTTCCAGTAGCCCCGTTTGGCTGGAACTTACTTTGTAGACCAGGCTGGCTTGGAACTCAGAGAGATCTACCCGCCTCTGCCTACAGAGTGCTGGGATTAAAGACGTAAGCCACTACACCCAGCTCAATAAACATTTTTACATGTCAGGCTGTCTGCCAGGGGCTAGAGAATCTGCAGTGGATTCAGCCCAAGTATGTTTCCCTGTCATGAGACTCATGGTCTGATTGGGAAGATGGATAGGAAGGCAGTGCCGTGATGCAGTGAGGTAAATACAGGGCTGTCTGCAGTTGCTTCCTTGGACATCAGAGACAAGTAGGGACAGGGCAAGTGGAAGGGGCTTAGAGAGCAGTAGGTCCAGGGACTCATGTGCAGCATTGAGGGAGCTTAGCAGGGTATAATGCATTCAGGGACCCATGGGAATGTTTTGGCTAGAATGAAGCTATCTCAAGGAAATGAATCTTGAAATAGGCATGGGTCAGGTCTACCTGGTTCTTGACTGTTGTTGCACTGCTGATTTTGTCTTGAAGATGAAAGGGAACCAGTGATGGATGGGGAAGGAAATGACCAGAAATTGTGCTTTCAAAAGATTATCCAAGTCTGTGTTGTAAGGTGTTGGGGAGCAAGGCTGGTGGCAAGGTGAGGAGGTGAAGGGAGGTCTGGGCTAGAAGGAGGAGGACTAGACCTCAGGGCACGGAAGAGACAAATGCAGAGTGGAGTCCAAGTATGGAAGTGAGATGTGGAGACTGGGGTTAGAGCTTCAGAGCTGGGGGACTGCCAGACATCATGTCACTTGCCTTCATTTGACACATGTGAACCCAGGCCTTCTGGCACAACTTCTTTCTAGTACTTTCTCTGTGTTGCGCAAGTACTCACTGATGTGAAAACCATGTGCCTTTCTTTGGGTCTGTATATCTGCATTAACTGAGCATAGGATCAGTTATACGGAAGGCTTTATGGTAGGAAGCTGGTAAAGAAGTTTGGTCTTCCTGGGAAGCCTGTTTTTTTTTAAACCTTTCTGGTTGTTAATGTAGTGGAGTCCTTGGCCAGAGGGGGCTTGGTGGAGACAGTGTTTTGTGAAGGCCCACCTACTGGGACCTGGGCTGGACACTGAAATTCTCTCCTTTTTAAAACATGATGTGGCTGAGTGAGGAAGACTGAGAATCTGGTGCGGTGTGTCCAGAGTGGTAGCTCTCTTCATCAGTTGATAGAAGAGTTTTAGCTCTGGCTCTTAACAGGGAATGGAACGAGTAACTTTCCATCTCAGCCGGTACTTAATGAAGCATCGGTTGGGGCCTGTAACAATTCCTAGAGGCTTGTATCCAAATGTGTGGGTTGGACCATGATTGCTTCTTGCTAGACATTTCAGGGTTCTCATTTTCCCTGTTACATACAAAGCTATGACAAATATCTTTGTACATATACCATTTTATAGTTATTTAATTCTTTTTTCGGGGTGGGGGGAGGCTTGGGAGAGATGAAAATTTGGTTTTAGGGTCTGGCTTGACCACTGGCTGACTGATATCTTATGGGAACCTTCCAGATGATACCTTCCAGAACTTCCTGCATGAAGTGGAGCTAATAGAGTCTTTCAGAGTTTCATAGCATTTTCTGAGCTGCAGTCTGGAGTGTGATGCCCGACCTGTGATGGGGTCTCTGGAAACCCTGGTATCTGTTGTAAGCTGAGGTTCTCTCTAGCCACTGCCCCCCAAGTTCTGCCCATCAGCTTCTGTTTTCTGATGGTCCTTTATGTTTCCTTGACCTTGGAATAAGATCCCTAACTTTTGCCTTGGCCCACAAGCTCCTACCCATGTGATGGCAGCTCCCTGTCACTTGGTGCCCAACATGTTCCTCTGTAGGACACTATGCTCTGCCACACAGTCTGCTCTTCACCACACCCAGCTCCTTCCTGTGTCAGGGCCTTCACGGATGCGCCACCCTCTGTCTGGGGCACTGTCTCTCCCTTTCCTTAGATGTCTGGACCTTCATGTCTCAGTTTTTTTGTTTTTAATTTAATTTTATTTTTGAGACAGGGTCTCCCTGTAGCCCCAGCTGGCCAGGAACTCGCTGTATAGACCAGGCTAACCTCGAACTCACAGAGATCCAGTTGCCTCTGCCTCCCAAGTGCTGGGATTAAAGGCGTGCACCACCATGCTTGGCTCATATGTCTCAATTTTAATGTAACCTTGGTAGAGAGCTTGTCCCTAATTTTATTCTGTCTTCTAGCAAGCATACAATACCCTGTCTTTTAAGTCAAGATCTTTTTAAGTTTTAAAAATATTTTATTTATTATTTTTATTTTATGCGTATTC